TTGATCAGGAAGAATGCTACCATTTCATATGAGTTAATCGGGACCCATATTTCTGAAATTGAAATGATTTGGGTTTAACGTCCTACTGTTCTGCTCCAAACTAGGCTAATGAAGACGGGGATACGCCATACAGTAGTGTGCTATAAGGGAAATTTTGCCCGGACAGCGGCACTACGGCCTACTCTTATACACTGAAAAAACACTAGTGTTGGATCTCAACACAAGTACTTGTGATAAAACTAAACTACACAAGTTATGTGTTGTTTTGCATTGCATTAACACAAACTTGTGTCGATTTATAAAATCTTGTGTGTTTTTTCATATCATTAACACAAGTAATGTGTACCTTCCACGATTTGTTTTCTTTTTAAGAAAAAAACTCCATACAAAGTCTGAATTCGGGAGTCGTCAAGTTTTAAGAAAAGTAATAAAGGGCTTAATTCACATCTCGAAAATCACTGGAAGGGAGTGAGTACCAATTAATCAGACAATTGCCAGACAGACTTGAATGTTAATTGGTGTTAAGTGGTCTATATAGTTAAAATGTCTGTCTTTTTTTATTGACCCAATAAACTGATAGACCAAATGAATATATAGTGTACATGTGATTTTCAGCACCCTGGTGTTTTCGAAAATTGATTCAATGTGCAATGAACAAAAAAAATGAGTAAAACTCTTAATAATGTAATTGGTTGATGTAATCGAAATTGGACAGTATTGGTTAACTGAAAAGTAACCAATCAAATTTAATTGATCATCCACGTGTATCTCATAATCGACTTATTGATATAATGGTTCTCCAAGTTATCTATACTTTTTGTCTGCGATATCACTTCGGTGGAAGCGGGCGTAAAATACAACTAACTAAGAAGAAGTATCTATACTTTAGTCATTGCGACAAATTCTTTCTTTGATATTATATCAGCGACATTCAGTTAGATGTAGTGACGTTAGCATCAACAGAGTGCTTTAGCCGTGATATTTTTTAAAAAAAAATTATAATGGTCACATAGAATACCAGACCGCAGGTTTGTAAATTTTTACAAAAAATAAAACCGTGTATTTAATTTAGCATGTATATATTGCTTCTATGTATATAATAATTCGTTTCGTTTAAAACAGTCAGATTTAGAACCACTGCCACTGACTGCACCGGAATTCTATTTATTAATGGCGCCACAAAGAAATTTTTTTTGATGTGTTCTAAAAGTGTTCCGCTAATTCAGCAATCTAATGAATCTGTCTTAATTTTTTTGAAATCGTGCTTAATTATTATTAGCTAATCGGCGCTACACCGTTGTTCAAATACTTATAATTGCAAGAAACCCCCGACTAGGACCAGCAGGTAAGAATCTGTCTTGATTTTATAGTAATGCCCGGTTGCAATTATTGGCCGCCATCTTTGATTTTTATAGACGTTCGGGCCAAAAAAAAGGAGAAATGTATATCCAGACATGGACTATAGCTAGATACTAACTTTTGTGTTAGTTGTTTATTTGAAATGTAATCTTAATATTTCTGTAAAAGAAAAAAACAACAACAAACAAATCAGCCTTTTTTTTATATCAATGTCATCAATGTGTAGGCCTAATAATTAGACTTTCAATGATTCAGAAGTTTCTCTACAGTTTCGTTATTTTTTTTCCAGTCATTGATGTTAGCATATGTACTACACAAAGAAAAACAGGTAAAAGTTTCTTTGTCCAAAATCTTTTGTCAAAAAAAAGCAAATACTTTGAAAACATTTTAAACATCTGGCACAGCTAAGGCACTGGCAATAAAAACGCCTGTCAAACTTTGCCACGCAACAGACGCATTCTTCAATTCTCAAGAATATCAGATGACACCAAAGTCGTGTTGCCTTGTAATTTGATAGCTAAACCATCTGACACAGCTAAGACACTGGTTATATAACACATGCCAAACTTTCCCACGCCAAAGACATATTCTTTGGTTCTCAAGAATATCAAATGACACCAAGTTGCTTGACTTTTATTTTGATGATTAAAACATATGTCACAACTAAAAGACTGGAGTTAATTAAACATAGTCACCAAATTGCCTTTACAGAAGACATTTTCTTTAGTTCTCAAAGATATTAAATTACATGGTGCTAAAACATGTCATAACTCCATACAAGATAACTGTGACCACCGCTATAATATATAAATCGAATCTAAAATACTGTGTAACGAAAATAAAACCCATTTATATAAAGAACATATTTCGGTCATGGAAACTTGGTCATACTATTTTCATAATTCAAATATTGGAACAGATTCATCATACCACCACATTTTATTAAAACCTTTCATTAAATATAAAACTATCAGCAGATGAAATATTGTTCAAATTTCAAACATTTGACTACAGATGCAAACTTTCCATCAAATTAAAAAACAATATCTACAAATAATCGGTAAATGATTTTAACAAATTAAAATAAATCATATGTACATCACTTATTGAAAAAAAACAACTAATGAATGAAAAATCTATAAGGATAGAAGGGATTCCTTTGATACACAAGTTTGAAAAATGGTAAGAAGGTCTTATGGAATCGTGGTTATATACCACAGAAACAAAGTCATTTACATATACGGTTCAGACGGCATAAAGTTCATCTAACAGAACCAATGAGGGAGTGTATGTCACAAATTATTTGCATGTTCGGTGAATTTCCATTTCATGCAAGACCTAGAAAACCAATCACAATTGTGTATTTCGCAAGTCATTTGCATTTTAGACGAATTCAGGTCAATGGAAAAGTTTACAAAAGTTCATAGACATATTTTAAATAGTTCCAGATTAAGTTTTAGTATATCGGTCCAAAGGTCACCCACCACGCGAAAGACTGAAAGATTGGCATTGAACAAAGGAATGGTGCTTCGTCATCAGCTTTTAAATAAGCCGCTCCTTTTTTTAAACAGATCACATGATCACAACTGTATGTAACACACATATATGTGGATGGAATGTTTTACTGCACGATATTATGTTTTATCTAGTTTAAAATCAAAAGCCATCGGTTAGAACATCTGTTAAGTACATTATCTAGTGTTAGCCGTCAGTTTGTTTTAAAAGAGGTCACCTATTATATTTTTTGTTAAATATATTTCAAAGGCTAAAATAAAAAAATAAAAATCTTACTGAAGTATGTCGGTTTTAACTAACCTTAATCAATATAAAACAATATAATTAATTCGCATATTAATTTATACCATAATTACTACAATTATCTGGTCATTTTTGTTTTTTTAAAGCCATTTTCTTACGCGTCAACAGCATAGAGATTGTAATTTTTTAACAACTCGGCAAAAAAAATAAATAAATAAAAATAACTGGCCTAGAAGGAATATAGAGGTTATTGGCATATTTAAAAAGGTCCATTGCATTTTTTAGAATATCGGTCAAAAGTTCACCTACTACCCCGAAAAACATCTGTTAAATACATAATGTAATATTAATATTATTAACCTGGTTTTTAAAGAACTAACCACTTTTATTTTTCTTAAATATATTTCAAATGCTAAAATAAAAACATTTAAGTAAGTTAGGGTTAGACTAACCTAAATTAATATAAAACAATTAATATACTAATTAACATATTAATTAATACGATAATGACTACAATTGTCATTTTAAAACATTTCTCATACCTTAACGATGTACAGCTTGTATTTATTTAAACAAGTACATGAGTTTAATTAACCGCAATTAATATAAACAATTAATATACTAATTAACATATTACTTAATACTACTTTTACTTTTAAAACATTTTCTCATCTGTTAACGACATACAGCTTGTAATATTTTAACAAGTACGTGAGTTTAATTAACCTCGATTAATATAAAACAATTAATATACTAATTCGCACATTAATTAATACGTTAATTACTACAATTATCCGGTCATTTTTGTTTTTTTAAGGCCATTTTCTTACGCGTTAACAGCATACAGCTTGTAGTTTTTTTTTAACAACTCGGAAAAAAAAACCCCAAAAAAACTGGCATAGAAGGAATATAGGTTATTGGTTTATTTAAAAAGGTTCATGGCATTTTTTAGAATATCGGTCAAAAGTTCACCTACTACCCCGAAAAACATCTGTTAAATACATAATGTAATATTAATATTATTAACCTGGTTTTTAAAGAACTAACCACTTTTATTTTTCTTAAATATTTTATCAAATGCTAAAATAAAAACATTTAAGTACGTTAGGGTTAGAGTAACCTAAATTAATATAAAACAATTAATATACTAATTAACATATTAATTAATGCGATAATGACTACAATTATCATTTTAAAACATTTCTCATACCTTAACGATGTACAATTTGTATTTTTTAAAACAAGTACACGAGTTTGATTAACCTCAATTAATATAAACAATTAATATACTAATTAATATATTACTTAATACTACAAATGACTACAATTATTTGATTGGTGACATCTGAGAATATTCAAGTTCCAAAATATTAATCTAGTCCCTATTAGTCAGTATGGACGTTAAAACTCGTTTCATTTCTCTTATTTAAAACCAAATTTTGGTCGTGAAATTCAAAAGATCAAATTGAGAACTACCGCCAGACCAGTAAATAATTTCACCAAATTTAAATAAATAAAAATAAATTTAAAAAAAAAAAATGAATTAATGAAAAAAAAAAAATTAATGAAAAAAAAAGAATAAATGAAAAAAAAAATTAATGAAAAGAAATTAATTAATAAAACAAAATAATGAAAAAAAATAACTGAATTATGAATAATTCATGAAAAGAAATTCATGAAAAAGAATTCATGAAAAAGAATTCATGAAAAAAAAAATAATTAGATTATGAATAATTAGATTATAAATAATCAACTAAATGAGGAAATAACAAGACTAAATGAAAAAATACAATTAACAAATACAATTAACAAATACAATTAACAAATACAATTAACAAATACAATTAACAAATACAATTAACAAATACAATTAACCATACAATTGACGGGAATGTCTTTTAGGACATGTTTTGGTCTTTGGGTTGAAGCGACGACGAAAAAGACGTTGGGGCGTGGCGAGGCGGGGCCCATGCGCGGTACAAATAAAACATTTTGTTTCACACCACCAATAATACATTGAATAAAAATAAGATCATAGCGTCCGCGGGCGGGCGCGCTGGACTGGGCGGGCGGTGCGTGGGTTCGAGGTGAACTTCGCACGCTCATTACGGTGACCCCCCTCCCCCCCATATCCACAATTCAAATTTAAACTCACAACTTCATATTACCTAGTTGCCACGGGTTTCCATCATCACTACAATTAACCGTTAACCCCACTTTTTAAAAAAAAGGCGGACAACATTACAAACACAAACACACCCAACAATTCAAATTTAAACGGACATGGTGTTCATATTACGTCGTTGTCACGTGATTCTATCGTAACTAGGGTCAACAACCACGCCCATAATAAAAGGGGGATAACTCTTCTGACGTTGATAAGGTAAACAAAACAGGGGAAGATAACCCTACCGGAAATACCCCCTCCAAGTGCCCTATTTTACTACTTGATATTACATTAATATGGGGTCTTAGAGCCATTTTTGTTTATTTCAAGTTTCCAAAACATAGAGGAACTAAACCCCCAACTCAATAATATTCTAAATTAAAGATACATTGTGTAAGATTTAGATAAAGAGCTGGCCATTCGTGCTATAATAGTTCGAAAATAGATAATGTAAAATCAATAATTTGAAAATTTCATTCACATTACTCTATTGCAAGTGAATATATCAGCCTTTGAAGGTTTGACAATACGTGTGCCTTAATTGCAACCAACGTACCGGTTGTTCGAAGCTAAATCTGGCTCCTCCAGTTTAAAATTAAATCGAAATATAACTGAACCGCATTAGTCTACATAATATCGGATATATCTGATGGCATCTGTAATAGGCAGATGTAGCCTTTGCTACAATATTGGTCCATTCCAATCAATATTGTTGTTATTTTACCGTGAAAATGTGGGATCCCAATATCCAATATTTAGAACATAATGAGCTTTCTTTGTAATGAACTAATATAAATATATCACAGAAGACAAACGAAAGGAAATAATAGTGAAGAAAACACCAAAACGTTTATATGGATTAAAACAGGCGTAAACGAAATCACCTGACAAACACTCATACAGAGCTAAGTACCCTTCCACCGCGCGGTGTTTCTGGAGAACGCTAGATTGGCGACGGTCCTGTACATTTTAGAACATATGACGTCATATGTGGATTGTGGGTTAGGCTACGGGTTAGGACCTGCAGATGTCGTCAAAGTCTAGAGATGGAAACAGGGATATGACGTCATATGTGCAGGACCGTCGCCGATCTAGCGTTCTCCGGGGTTTCTTCAATTTGCTTTCAGTACTGTACAGGAAAACGACCAATAAAATAAATAATACCAACCTAAATAGCAAAATACCCGCACCCTCTCCCCCGCCTCCAAACAAAAATCAAAACAAACCATCACTTCTTTAATCACTTCAAACCTGTGGGATATATCAAAACTAAAACCTTTCCATATGGAACCTATAAACCCCCTGTATCAAAAAACTTAGTGTGTGGTTTTTGGTTCTTTTCAAAGATGTTTGTGGGTCTACAGTCATAACTAAAACTTGAACAATCATTTTTAAAGTATTTGCTCAACTGGATTAAATACTTCTTTTCAACTTTGCTGTAAGCTTCTAAAAAAGACAGTTCCCGGTTTTTACGACGCGATTTTCGACTTCCGGAACGTCTAGAAGCATTTAGAAACACTGCTAATAATTGACTGTGAGTTGTTGTCTCCTCTTCGCCGTCTTTGAAAGGGTATTCGACGTCACTTCCTATAATTCCCCTAAGTTGCAAATTCCGCCATTTTCTTTTAAACGCCTCTTCATGGGTTACACATTTCAGTGTTCTTTTTTGCGAGAGGTAATTCATCAAACTGTTCGTATTGCTTTTGATAGTATCAATGTCCACCCCTTCTTCCATTTCTTGAAGTGCCCTAGACATTACTAAGTGGGTCAAGTTTAGTTTCTTTAGAACATGCAAAGTGTCCCGTTTAAATGTTTCCATTTTACCTATGATGTCATATTTTACGTCACAAGGACTACACTTGTCTGAAATAGGATTAAAATGAATATCCTTCATGGCAAGTGGTTTTACGACGTAACGAACTAACTCTGGAAATGTGACATCATGACCACAAGATAAACTTTTATTACTCGGGTTTTTCCGTACAGCTTTGATAACCTTTCGTCCGTACATTGACCAATAAACTGGATTTATGTCAAACAGTTTATTGGCGTAAGCGGACAAAAGACGAGAATATGGCTCACGGACAATAACAAACTTTAAAGAATTTCGTATTGCTGTTGTTTCCGCTTTTATTGCGCTGTAACGGTTACTGTAAAGCATATATGTTGAAACATTAAATGGGTTATTTGTTTTAGAGACGCCATTCACAATTAAGAACAAACGTCGCCAAAATGTGGATCCAACTTTTTCCACTGGACAATATAAAAACTTCTTCTCTGGAGAATACAGTAATTTCTTTTTGATATTTTCCATTGTGCGCTTCGTGGTGTTTTGCGAAACTTGTCGATGGCAGAAATTACTCATATTATTCCTTCTTTCTGACAATTCCAGCTGTATGTAATCTGTTGGTTTGGACTAAATGAAAAGAAAAATCATATTTTTTTTAATTTCGGGAAGAAAATTGATGTAAAATCACAACGGAAAAGAAAATGTGAAAAATCATAATGGTGTCTATGTTGATCAGGAAGAATGCTACCATTTCATATGAGTTAATCGGGACCCATATTTCTGAAATTGAAATGATTTGGGTTTAACGTCCTACTGTTCTGCTCCAAACTAGGCTAATGAAGACGGGGATACGCCATACAGTAGTGTGCTATAAGGGAAATTTTGCCCGGACAGCGGCACTACGGCCTACTCTTATACACTGAAAAAACACTTGTGTTGGATCTCAAAACAAGTACTTGTGATAAAACTAAACTACACAAGTTATGTGTTGTTTTGCATTGCATTAACACAAACTTGTGTCGATTTATAAAATCTTGTGTGTTTTTTCATATCATTAACACAAGTAATGTGTACCTTCCACGATTTGTTTTCTTTTTAAGAAAAAAACTCCATACAAAGTCTGAATTCGGGAGTCGTCAAGTTTTAAGAAAAGTAATAAAGGGCTTAATTCACATCTCGAAAATCACTGGAAGGGAGTGAGTACCAATTAATCAGACAATTGCCAGACAGACTTGAATGTTAATTGGTGTTAAGTGGTCTATATAGTTAAAATGTCTGTCTTTTTTTATTGACCCAATAAACTGATAGACCAAATGAATATATAGTGTACATGTGATTTTCAGCACCCTGGTGTTTTCGAAAATTGATTCAATGTGCAATGAACAAAAAAAATGAGTAAAACTCTTAATAATGTAATTGGTTGATGTAATCGAAATTGGACAGTATTGGTTAACTGAAAAGTAACCAATCAAATTTAATTGATCATCCACGTGTATCTCATAATCGACTTATTGATATAATGGTTCTCCAAGTTATCTATACTTTTTGTCTGCGATATCACTTCGGTGGAAGCGGGCGTAAAATACAACTAACTAAGAAGAAGTATCTATACTTTAGTCATTGCGACAAATTCTTTCTTTGATATTATATCAGCGACATTCAGTTAGATGTAGTGACGTTAGCATCAACAGAGTGCTTTAGCCGTGATATTTTTAAAAAAAAAATTATAATGGTCACATAGAATACCAGACCGCAGGTTTGTAAATTTTTACAAAAAATAAAACCGTGTATTTAATTTAGCATGTATATATTGCTTCTATGTATATAATAATTCGTTTCGTTTAAAACAGTCAGATTTAGAACCACTGCCACTGACTGCACCGGAATTCTATTTATATAATGGCGCCACAAAGAAATTTTTTTTGATGTGTTCTAAAAGTGTTCCGCTAATTCAGCAATCTAATGAATCTGTCTTAATTTTTCTGAAATCGTGCTTAATTATTATTAGCTAATCGGCGCTACACCGTTGTTCAAATACTTATAATTGCAAGAAACCCCCGACTAGGACCAGCAGGTAAGAATCTGTCTTGATTTTATAGTAATGCCCGGTTGCAATTATTGGCCGCCATCTTTGATTTTTATAGACGTTCGGGCCAAAAAAAAGGAGAAATGTATATCCAGACATGGACTATAGCTAGATACTAACTTTTGTGTTAGTTGTTTATTTGAAATGTAATCTTAATATTTCTGTAAAAGAAAAAAACAACAACAAACAAATCAGCCTTTTTTTTATATCAATGTCATCAATGTGTAGGCCTAATAATTAGACTTTCAATGATTCAGAAGTTTCTCTACAGTTTCGTTATTTTTTTTCCAGTCATTGATGTTAGCATATGTACTACACAAAGAAAAACAGGTAACAGAATTTCATTTCCTTTTAATATATTTTTTAAATAATGGCCAATAATTGTTATTGTATGTAACAGGAAAAGTATTTATCTCTGTAGAGAGAGGGCGAGTAAATGGGGTTTAAAATTCACTAAATTCACTTGACACAAACTATGCCATTCATTTCCTTGTATTAAATTGGTCGAATCAATGATGGGTTAGTTGTATTTTACGTCCGCTTCCACCGAGGTGATATCGCAGACAAGGTCGAATCAAGTAGGCCCATGCTTTATGTCCTAGAATCAAGTAGGACGGGTAGTCTTCTTCCGTTTCCGCCCTTTTCCTGAACACTGTCTCATTCTATTGCCATCTGTGTATGTTGTGTTATATTAATTCTGCATAAACCTAGAGTTGTTGTTAGTGTTTGTCGGATAGATCCTTTATACTTACTGGCGCTAGGTAATTTTGAGGCTAATATTGTTCAATTTTATTTGAATGATTTGCTTGCGCGTACCGTAGGAGTGTATTAGAAACAGTGTTCGCGCAGGTTCGAGAACGGCTGAAGAACATGAAAACACTTTCATGAGTCTCGAACATGAGAGAACGGTATCCATGGTAACAAGATGAATTAAATTTATACAATCTGTTACGATAACTTGTTTGGTATTGACTTCGCTATTAGGCATACTTATGATAAATTATGACTCCATTTTACTCCTTTTCAATTCTTTGGATGACGATTACATCACCTTTTGATACGCCCACATGGAAATGTGGTCGCATATTGTCATCGCCCTCGTTCGTAGGTTTGTCCGTCGTCTACAGACCTGATTATTTTGAAATTGATATGTTGTTTATTTTAATGAGATGAATCCTATTTAATTTCAATAATTTCCGTTAGTTTCTTCTGGAGTTATGGCCCTTGTTTCACTTTGTGAAATTCATTTGCATCTTTTAAATTAGTAAAACGAAGACGTCTATTAAATTTTTGCGATTTCCGTGAATTATGTCTAGAGTTGTGGCCCTTGTTTCACTTTTTCGAACCTTGTGAACGCGCGAACAACAAAATTATCATCCGATTTGTATGCATTATTTAAATTAGTAAAACACAAAACAAAAAAATCTGTCAAATTTCAACAATTAAGGCCCTTGTTTCAGTTTGTAGAACCTTTGTAAACCCACAAACGACAAAAATTATAATCTTTTCTTGTAAATGCCCACATTACCTACAAAAGAATGAATATGTGACAATCCCTGTTGACTGAGCAAACGATTAAACTGCTGTGGGCATATGTTTCGTTGCCTGGCAACCTAACTTATTTGATGTTATACTGGCCACATACTACATCCAATTTTCGAACGGTATTAAACTTTTAAATTAATAAATGCACCCATGATGCTGTTTTCTCAGCAGTTATCGATGCGTCGACCATGTTTGTTCTCCCTCACACCAGCTATGAGGTAGTGTGGGATTTGAGAACGGGAACGTGTTCGTGAACGCATTCCAGACTGCTCAAGTCCGACAAGAACCCATTCTCCGTCCGTTCTCTGCACCGGAACACTGTTTCGAATACACCCTAGGGGTATTTAGCAAAGGGAGGAAACCGGAGGACCCGGAGAAAACCCACAAGGCTGGACAGGCGACCTTATTCCTAGTCACATTCAAGTGGGGAATCACATAATAATGGCCTATTTCAAATAAGATATTTGCATATAAAGAAAGTAGGCCTACAGCCTCTTTCAAATGTGATATTTGCATATAAAGAAAGTACAAACTTAAATCGTCAGTACTGGATAAACTAGCCAAAGGATTCGGCTGAATCAATTGGCGCTAAACTTCACCTAGTGTATCCACTGACATACGCCCGAATCAAACATGTTTAATATATTTGGTCGAATTGTATTTGAGTGGTGTGTCCTGCTGTCCGCTTCGCCGAAGCATTCGTCTGATTTTAGAATTCATTAGCCAATCACCACTCATTTATATCGAGTGGGTATCACAAACTAGCAGTCGAACTGTGACACGGGTGCTACAGCCAACAAATTCCAACTACCATACTTCGGCTTAAATGCACGCCAATTGGACCTCAGGTTTTGTGTTCCATTGAAACTACTAGAAATGAAATGGGGTTTAACGTCCTACTATTTTGCTCCGAACTGGGCTAATGAAGACAGGCATACACCACACAGTGTGCTATGAGTGAAATTTTGCCCGGACAGCGGCACTGCGGTGTATCGAATTCCAACTGTCAAGGGATCTTTTACGTGGACGCCAACGTGTACACGGGACCTCGTTTTTTCGTATCATCCGAATGACTAGACAACTGTCCTTGTCAGGCCCTCCATCCTGCATCACTGACAAGGGGGAACCACGCGCCGGAAAATCTGGGTGAACTTTCTCGGCCAATGCAGGGATCGAACACCCTACCTCCAGGCTAGCGAGCCAGCGTCTTACCCACTTAGCCACCATGACGACTAGACAGGGAATCCATGCTGAAAAATCCAAATGAGCTTTCTCGGTCAACACTGGGAGCAAACCTACAAACTCCCGGGTAGCAAGCCAGTGCCTTACACACTAAGCCACATGGCTCTCTTCTAATTACTGTGACAGTCCAGTCACATGACAAACAAGGGTTATTAAAACAGATTTTCACGGCTTCGGTAAGATCTTCGGGATTCAAATGGTTTTAGATATCACACAGTTTTTATATGGTAAGGTATCTTAAACAGTTAATTACATGTCACATATTTATATTTTTCAGTTTCCATATTAGATGCCATAGCAAATCAAAGATCATATAATAAAATAAGTCAAAAAACCCAAATATGGGGAAAAAAAGAGCTGAAGAAATGGTGATTTGAGCACCTATGATTTCTCATAGTTGTTTTTTGAGGGTGAGTGTTCAATTCTAATAGAAAAGATTGTTGTTGTGGTATTTTAGAATCTCACCATAATGTGTTTGGCACAATATAGCCCGGTTGGAGCTGATGTGACATAAACCTTAATTTCATTTTATTATTTGGAATTTAAAATTCAGTTTAGTATAGTAAAACTGTGAAGTACATGTATGTGCACAGACAGAATCTTACTTATGTCCAGATACATGTAGATATGACTATCTCATCTGTGGGGACCTACGGTGACCAAGTGGGTTAGACACTGGTTCGCATATTTTAAGGTCGCGGGTTTGCAGTAAGACAATGCAGAACGGAGGGCCTTACAAGGACAGCTGTCTAGTCGTTCAGATTGAACAAAAAAACGTGGTCCCGTGTACACATTGGCGTGCATGTAAAATAGCCCCTGGCAGTTAGAATTTGATACAAGAGTAGGCCTTAGGGTCACGGTACCCGGCAAAATTTCTCTCATAGCACACTGTATGGCATATGCCCAACCTCATTAGCCCAGTCGGAGCTGAACAGTAGGACGCCGAACCCCATTCCATTTCATTTTTTTCATTTTGTCTCATCTGTGACAAAGCAAACCAACACATTACAATACAATGTAATTAAATTAAAACTTTCATCTTTTAACCGTCGAGTCGATTTAAGTCAACTAATACATAGTATGTTTTTTTTCTCCGTTAACTACATCAGAAAGATCAAGACAGTTGAAAATGGCTATTCATATTATGGAAACTTTTTCTCACAGAGCTTGATAATCAGGTAAAATGTAAGTAACATACATATTTGTATTTTTAATCATCAACTAGTTCTATACACTTGCTTGGTAATCTAGTTATTCTTCTTGGGGCAATGCCTAGGACTCAGCTATTTCAAGTACTTGGCATGCTTGATTTTTGCCAATCACATCCATTACAGTAAATAGCAGTAAAATAATGATGGACAATATTTTACTTTTCAAATAGATTTCAATAGATTTTAAAGGGTAATATCCAATTTGTTGTCAATGGAAATAAAATAAGAATGGGTCCAAAAATAATTAGACATTGCCAAGTAAATAGGTGCTGCCAATGATGTAGTAGGGAATCTGGATTTGCAGACAATACATGTATGAACCGGGTGAATAGTTGACCTATTATGAGACTTCAGTCCCAAATCTCAAGACTTTTTTCTGACTTGGCCTGACAATGACAGCTGTCTAGTCCTTCCGATGAGACGAATATTGGAATGCACGTAAAAGATCCCCTGGCAGTTGGAATTCGATATAAGAATAGATGATAGTGCCGCTGCCCGGGCAAAAATTCCCTCATAGCACACTGTGTGGCATATGCCCGTCATTATTAGCCCAGTATAGGAGCAGAACAGTAGGACGTTAAACCCCATTTCATTTCATTTTTCTGACTTTTAACCCATTTGATTTGAGCATAATAATCTGCCTGGGTCTTTAAGTGGACAAGACACAATAAGCGTTACGCAAAGTTGAAACCAAATAGAGACTCAGTCTCGATGTGGCAAAATAAATTGTTTATTTAAACATTGTATTCTTATTGCCTACTTTTTATTTTTTAGGCTGGAACACCCTTGAAAGAGTATTTGGTGTATGATAACAACAAGAGAACCCAAGCATCAATTTATTTTATACTTCTGGGAAAGAATGCATTTGACCCAATTTTTAAATATTTATTTTTTGTTATTAATGTTAAATTTTCTTCCAAAACACAATTAGATTTTAATTCTCTTCAAATATGTATGTATAATATAGCAAGTAAACTGACATATAAATCACTTAGAATTTGGTCGGAAATCATAAAGTATTTAATAGGCATTACTAGAAACCAAATGTAGATCAAATACACCCAGAATTACAAAAAACCTTGACCTACATTAAGGTGACTTTCCCTTGCTTATGAAATGAAATACGTTTTAATATCCTGCTTTTCTGTGTTCTTAGAGTGATTCTACCCTACCCTTATATCAAATATTTCAACTGTCAAGGGTTCTTTAAAGGGTACCCAGGGGGGGCCGAATGGTTAACACGCACACATTTGATCAGAAGGTCTGTCATTGATTCAAATAATTCAATTTTCAAGGGTTCTTCAAAGTGTACGCAGTTGGGTTGGTTTCAATTCTGGGGGGTGGGGGTGGATGGCCGAATGGTTAGCACGTGCATGCTGTATCATACGGCCTCCTGTCATTGAGTCAACTGGCATGGTTTCGAATCCCCGGTTGTAGACAAGGAGTAGGGTCGCCTGTCCAATCTTGTGGGTTTTCTCCGGGACCTCCGGTTTCCTCCCACTGCTAAAGACCCCTACGCGCTAGCGAATTATTGAAATAAAATTAAACCATATGTTAATCCCAAAATGATCTAGTTTGTGTCGAGTAGATGTTAAACCCCATTTCTCTATGTCTCTCTCTCTTTTGATTCTGGGCTTGTACCCAATTATCCCTTGCCATATCCAACAATGAAAAGTGGGAACTATGCCGGAAAATCCAGTTGAAATTTCGCGGCCAACGCCTTATGCTCACTGAACCACTGTGGCTTATGACTTGTGATTGTATATAAATCTTTTGTACATATGATATTTTTTTATTTCAATCCTGTAATCTTGATGCTTTGCTTCTTTTATTTATAAAATATTCATTTTGTTTGGGGTTTTTTTTAATGAGGAAAAGGCTCTACATCATTTTATTACTCCTGCAAAATAGAGCAATTTTCTTTTGTTAGTTTTCTGTGTATGCTAGTTATTTCTAGATGCCTCACAAATCACTTGTAGTGTGATTTTGTAGCATTTTTCAGTTTTTGAAATTGTTTCAATTTAGTGCATAATTAATCTTATTAGTGCTTATTTTGGATGTTATTAAATTTAGATATATTTGAATTATATATTTTGGGGTATGGGGTAGGGATACTGTGTACATATCTTTATATTCTCAGTTCTTGTTTTGGGGTAAAGAACAATTTAAATAGCTATTTTATATTTTGTGATGGGTAAAGTGTGTGGGGCAAAAAACAATTTAAATAGCTATTTTATATTTTGTGATGGGTAAAGTGGGGGGGGGGGGGAGGGGTCATTATATATAACACAATATAATTTGTATTAGAATTGAAGTCTCTGTTTTTCTGTTAACATTTCAAATATCTATTTAGTTTTGAAATATTAATTTACTTTTTCCTATGATTTTATGAATAAAGAATAATCTTACAAAATTTTTTTTTGTTTCCTTCTTTTATCAAACTTTACAGGTCTAACAGAGCAAAGAGAGGGGTCCTGCATAGAAAGGTTGCTATGCTGGATATAAATTGGGGAAAAATACAACACAAGTTTTTGATGATGGTTATACACAAGTTTGTATGAAACCACACAAGTTTCAGAAATTTCAACACAAGTTTCAGAAATTTTAACACAAGTTTCAGAAATTTCAACACAAGTTTCAGAAATTTCAACACAAGTTTCAACACAAGTATTGTGTAGATTTCACACAAGTTTCAACACAAGTTTTGTGTTGTTTGATACATTTTAACACAAGTTTTGTGTTGTTTGATACATTTTAACACAAGTTTTGTGTTGTTTCAACATTTAACACAAGTTTTGTGTTGTTTTAACACAAGTTTGTGTTGTTAAATAGAGACACCTAACTTGTGTTGAATTTAACACAAGTTTGTGTTCTTTCAACACAAGTTTTTTTTCAGTGTATCGAATTCCAACCGTCAAGGGATCTTTTACGTGCACGCCAATGTCTACACGAGACCTCGGTTTTTTCGTCCCATCCGAACGACTAGACAGCTGTCCTTGCCAGGCCCTCCGTCCTGCATTACTGACAAGGGTGAATCGGGCTGGAAAATCTGGATGACCTTTCTCGCCCAATGCAGGGACCGAACACCCGACCTCTAGGCTAGCGAGCCAGCGTCTTACCCACTTAGCAACCGTGACCCTCGTTCTAATTTATAAACATTATATTATTTGGTTGTATGAAAAAGTAACGTAACAAAAATATAAGACTGATTTTCCTTACCCGAAGTAAATGAATCGTTTGAAGAATACCGTTGTTTTCTGCTGGAATTATAAATTCAGAAAAAGGAATATTATTCATTAAAGTTATTAAAACTGGCCGAGAACAAAGAGAAAGCAATAGAGCAGTGATTCTCCACCTGTGTGCCGCGAGATATTCCTAAGTGTGCCGCGGAATTTAGAAAATGTGAAAAACTACGTGATCCCAATTGAGTATTCACTGGCGTCTACTTGAAATAAAATCGAACTATATGTTAGTACCGAAATGACATAGCTTGTGTCAAGTAGACGTTAAACCCCCTGTCATACTATAGGGCAGTGATTCCCTACCAGTGTGCCGCGAAACTTTGAACGGCACACTAAGAAAATATGAAAAACCACGTGAACCCAATTGAGCATTCACTGGTATCTACTGATAAGTTCATAGCTGTGGGTTTTTTTAGTTAGTTTGATTCAATTTATGTGTCTATGACTAGTCTCTGTCTACGGTTGTATTCCGTCTGACTTAACATGATTTTATTTTGCAAAATTCATATATTTTTCATATATATTTAGTCAGGTGTGCCGCTATTTTTTCATGTGTTCCAACGTGTGCTGTGGGCAAAAAAAAGGGTTGAGAACCACTGCAATAGAGTATCCGTCTATCCGAATATTTAAATTCGAAGCTAATCAAAAGACTACAATTTTCACTACCGTTATTTAAATTGACCCAGAAGAAAAGTACCATGTAACAAAATGAAATTAGGTTTATTATAACGTCCTACTGTTCTGCTCCGACTGGGCTAATGAAAAAGGTGCATACGCCATACAGTGTGTTAGGAGGGAAATTTTGCCTGGGCAGTGGCACTATGGCCTACTCTTATATCGAATTGCAACCGCCAGGGATTAATGTTGTATCAGTTTATTAATAGATATAACGAATTATATAAAAAGAAACATCAAATAATAATGTCTATATTTAAATTATGTAAAATTAAACATAATTTTTATAATACCCATATTCAACTTAAACGCACCTGATGAAGAAAATTCATAAATAAAAAACAACTTATTAAAATAACTGTGTAGAAAGAGACATCAAAAACTGAACTTACCTGACAAATAAACTTTATAAACACACATTATAGCCAGAAAATTGATTCCCATATACAAAAATAACTTTTTTCTAGAAATGTGAAAATTCATCGTTGTGCTATTATTGTTTTTACACCTGTTACCAACTGGCGTGGTCGAGAACAATCAACAGTTGACTTCTTGCAGTGATTTCTGATGCGCACAGAACTCCTTCCTGTTTTTGACTCTTGCTCTTGGTTTTGACATAACGAATCTATATTCTGAACTTCACCACTCTCACCCAATTAGGGTCACACTATTAAAGAAGAAAATAAAGGTAGAAAAGCCGGGGTTAAAATTCTTTCATTTCAGATTTACTGTTAAAGACTACGATAAAACAAGATAATCCACAATGGCCCAAAACCGAATGGCGGAATCTGATTATCAGATACTAAGAAGGAATTATTCATATTTATTAGAGAATTTACAAGCTAAAAATATAACAGCACATCTCTTCCAATATGGCGTCATAGATCACGACGAGCTGGAGGAACACTTTAAGATTAATTTCCTCCAGCTCGTCGTGATCTATGACGCCATATTGGAAGAGATGTGCTGTTATATTTTTAGCTTGTAAATTCTCTAATAAATATGAATAATTCCTTCTTAGTATCTGATAATCAGATTCCGCCATTCGGTTTTGGGCCAAGGTGTTTTTTTTTCATAATTTAAAGTATAAGCGGGACATATTACTGCTTTTTTATTATAATTACTCTAAGCGAAATATCAACACAGGATTATATTATATATAAATATAATTCTGTAATAAAACAGAAGAAGAGAGAACAGTATATAATTATAGACAAACAAGGGAAGTAATTATATATATAACATACCTTATAAATAGTAGATAAACATAAAATATCTCTGATTCAAATAGATTTCATAACAAAATAGAATTGAAGCCTTATTAGTTGTTACAACTCTGTGGACCAGACGTCTTTATGTAAGATGAGTTTGTTAGACCTGCTAACAATATGCATAGAACTAGTCAAACGGGTTGACTTTCATTTATCATTGGCTGTTATCATTACATCGCCCAATTATACCTGGTCGACATTCACCACACCTCAAACTTCAGTGTACAGTTAAACTTTTTTTACAGTGTATAGTTCACAAGCGTTAAATATACAAATATTTTAAATAGTTCTGCGTAAATTTAAGTAGCTACTCGATTAACCAACCATTTAGTTAGTAGTTACCCCAATGAACGGATAACGATCTTGAATAATATGACATAAATATAGAGGCACGACAAAAACTATGTCATTTCGGGACTAAGATAATATGGTCCAGTTTAATTTCAATAATTCGCTTGCATGTAGGAGTCTCTAGCAGTGACGGCGATAAAAGAGACAGAAGTTTTTATATGGGAGGACACCGGAGAAAACCCATGAGGTTGAACAGACGACTTTACTTCTTGTCACATACAAGCGGGGAATCTAAACCACGTTTCTAGACTCAATGACAGACCTTACTTTGCGACACCCACCCAACGGCAAATTTGAAATACTGGCACTAGAGCTTGCCAAAGAACAAAATATTAAAACTATAATTTTAGGTGACTTTAATGTTAACATAATTAATAAAATCTCTTCAAGGATTAGCATCAACGATGTATCCGTATTCCTGAAGCAATGGCCCAAGAAGTATGCCTATTGAGCCATTTCTGAACTAAGAGCGAAAACTTGAGGCTTTGACGTATTGCGTTTAATTTTAGCGTAAAATCAAAGCTCTCTCACGTACCATCGTTGGAAGATGTATTTCTATCAAGTTTGTTGAAACACAATACGCAACATGAAAGCCCCTCTCTTGGACCCGAAGTCTTCCCCGAAAACTTCGGACAGGTGATTAAATGTATTATTTATATTGTTCGTATGATGCGTGGTCCAACAAATGATAAAACGATTCTTCACGTGGCCATTATTCAACGTTTACGTTTGTAGCTATTGTAGCAAGGTACTATATAACTTTCATCAAATTAAACGATCATTTAGGTGCTTAGAACTTTAAGACCTCAGCTGGTTTTTGATAATATTTGATAGTGACCTTTCAACTCTGTATAAACTTCTGTTAAAGACCACATAAGATGGCCAATTTTTTTTTCGCTACGTGTAGCCAATAGTTACTATATCCAATTTACGGCAAGCTCACGCCAATCTGATTAAAATTAATTCGGCTATTAACGTTTGAGTATTCGACTCGCAAAAACGCTTTTCAATTTTTCAATTACGACCTTAATCCGGTTGATTGACTGGTGACGTCACAGGCACTACACATAGTATATACATTATCTATACACAATATATCACTACCTGTACAGTATATCTCTGATATACACATCACGGTCCAATTAACACGTGACTGGCCTAATCATAATCACCGAATTATCGTCTTGTACTGTTATAGATTAGACATTTTGTGATTAAAGTATTTTCGAGTGAATTTAAAATGCTTTATCATGCCGTAGACCAATTTAAGCGTCCTTTGTTTAAAAAGGTCACGTGACAGATGAAGACGACCCAAGCAATTAGCCCATTTACCGTAATTTGGATAATATTTGATTTCCCAAACTATCTCTATATAAGCACAGAAATACAAATAGTGCCAGTAATTTGTCGTTATATTCATTATTGGCTATATATAATTATAATAACCATGTCTATACACAAACAACTTATATCGTAACTCCATTTGAAATTCACGGCGAATATTTAATTGTTCAATGACTATGCATAACAATAGATCGCCCTCATTTCTCAGCCAATCAACGCTGGGAATCTTATTGCCGTGTACGGTGCCTTGCATAATACGGCCGTAGTAACTGACGTTAAATTTTGGAGCGACAATTGCATGGGATTCATGGACATGAATATCAAATACACGTGAGCATCGTGACTGAAGTTCCTGATGCCGTTTGGTGAGCTATTAAAGTGTGAATGTACTTGTTAAATACTTTTTTTTTATAAAGAAGTTAAACGATGTTAGACAATAACCTCATGTCCATTAAATATTGTCTAAACGCCAATCAACAAATAATACGAGGCTACTTTATTACAAAAACATCGGTGAACAAATCTAATTGATTATTGGGTACAAAAGTAATTATAAACAACTGATGAGTAATGTACGATTCAGCGATTAGTTGTGGTGTGGAGAAATGTTTGCAGCAAAGTTCCCCCGTAACTTGTGTCGTTCGTTCGTGGAGTTTTAACACGTTCTACCAAGAATGATGTCTTTGATCTGGCGGGCTAATAATAACCTAATCAGCATTCTTAATCCAACATCTATACTTGTAAATTAATTTATAACCCCATGTGTGTGCAACGCTAATCATTATCTACATCGATATGTAAATTAATTTATGGCCCCATGTCTGCAACTTTAGTCGGATTGATTAATGATAGATATTAACGACAGTACACTTTATCAATACACAAAGATAGTTAGATGACCATTCTCAATCTCTTAATTCTAACGTATAATATTGAGATATTTTTTCGTATTTCATTTTTACGGTCATTTCAGGTTAATGAAGTCAAATCCACGTGCAGAAAGAAAGACGCCGTGCGATGACTACAGGAAATCGAGCTACGGATCGTCATTAAAAAATCACGTTTCAATCATGTTTGACTTTAATGATTCATTTTGCATGACCACATCTTTTACTTCTGCACTCTTTTACTCGGGGAAATTAGAACCACAATACTCTTCTGACGGAAATATATTTCGAATCGTTTGGACTCAAAAAGTCACTTTAAAACACAGTTTTAAAATCGCTGTCGTGAGAAGAGAGGGCGGAACATTATAAAACAAATTAGAACCACAATACTCTTCTGACGGAAATATATTTCGAATCGTTTGGACTCAAAAAGTCACTTTAAAACACAGTTTTAAAATGGCTGTCGTGAGAAGAGAGGGCGGGACATTATAAAACACAGTTTTAAAATGGCTGTCGTGAGAAGAGAGGGCGGGACATTATAAAACAAATTCTAAATAGGATCTTAATTAAAATAAATTACAAAACAAATTATTCCGCAGTCAATTGTTTTATTTAATTAGTGGATTAAGGAGGCAGTCAAGCGTTAATGAATACACACGCCAGCTGTATATAGGTAATTAAGGAATAAACATACATAAAATAATAAAATTAATCAATTAAAACAGTATGGTGGAACGTAAAATTGTCCCCTAGAGGGAAACGTAAACCGCCCTACACTACTAATAAAACCCCGATAAAATTAATAAATCAAATTCTACCCTGTCGGATGGAGCGAAAAAACGTCCCCTAGAGGGAATCGCCACCCATCCTACACCACAAATAAAACTCTTAACTAATAAATCAGGGTGTTAGCGTAAAAATGTCCCCATAAGAGGGAAACGCTACACACCCTGAAACTTTTTTACATACCATTTTTTTTTATTTCTTGACTAAATAAGTATTGATTGTAGATCATATTAAGTCACCATACATGTGTATATATATATGCACATACTATGTCTAAATGTTTGTATCTGTCCAAATGTTCGTCCACATTCATGTCTGTTTTGTTACAAATTCGTCTGTTTGTAAACGTCTACTGGCACCTTTTTATTCTTTGCACCTGTTATCTCATGTCTCTTGCTGTTATCTATTGTCTTCTGTACATATATATAAAAACCTAATTATCCTCTTTTTCACTAATCACACTGAAAATTATTGCACCTTGTATACATAACATGTTATTGTCTGCGATATCACCTCGGTGGAAGCGGACATAAAATACAACTAACAAACAACAACAAACATTCCGAAAATGCATTCGGTCACTGTGACGTCACTGGCGTCTGAGGGGATTAAATTAAGAGTGTTTTCGAATTTTTGCGACTTTGAGTGAAGATAGCTGAATTAATTTCAATCAGATTGGTGTGAACTTGCCGTAAAGTGGATATAGTAACCATTGGCTACACGTATCTCAAAGTTTCCAGACCCATCTTATGTGCACTTTAAAGCACGAACTGGCTATCATCTAATTAATCATGTAATTAATCCTATATGTCATTTGCAAAATACATATGATCTGTGTACAAGCTCCATATGACATCAACGGAATATGCAGTGGTCAGTAAGCATACCATGACGTGATAAAGAGACAATTTCCTGTATGATCATGAGTCTTATATATTCTCCGGTGCTATATAATCAGGAGTTTACTGACAGACAGACAGACCTGGAAGGACAAGCGAGGCTTGGACGAGTGCATGGACTCACCGAGTTCAGCCGCTGCCTTGGTGGAATGGTGGATTTAATAGTGTTATATGTGTTCCTGTCGTAGTCTAGTTCCCGATGTAGTTTAGTTCATGTTGTATCTATGTAACTGTTTGATATTCTGTTCCGATGTAAATACTTATCTGGTTCCGCTATGCCGGATTGTCTCCAACAGTTTGACACAGCGTTGTGTCATGAAATAATGAGATTTAAATTCAAAGGCCATAAAATCCAAATTATAAAGTAGTGCAACAGTATAAATGGACTTTCTCAGGGAAATTAACTAATATGAATATGATAAATTAACATGGAATATTATCAGGTCAGGTAAAAAAAACGGGAACAAAACATAGAATTTGATATGAATTTAAAAAAAAAAAATGTTATTCCTTGAAACGAGCCATAGACTATAGGACACAATTATCTACTCCTACCCCCATTTAAAACATCGTGTCGTCACATTTAGTTATCTTGTCGACTAAAACTGTGTTACTATCATGTTTATTCATCTTTAAATGTAAAATATGATAACTAGGTCAAGGTAAATATTATCAAGTTACGACAATCACGTTATGAAACGACATGTGTAATCTGGGTGCAGCAATCATATTATCCTACATATTCCAAATAATTTCTACAGTCATATTACTCTGGCTTGTATGAACATAATATAATAATCATTATAAACATGTAGGGGAGAAATGGGGTTAAACGTCCCCATGTGGGATATGTTACAACTACCGTTACCATTACCAGCGTAAATTACATGTAGGGCGTGT